ACACCACATTCGCTCCAGCGCACGACTATGTCTCTTAAGATTTCTGTTGTCGTCAGTCTGCCCTGGTTGTAATGGTCGGGGCCTGATGCTTCGTGTGGTTAGAGGAGCAAGTGAGTCTAATGTGGATGAAAGTGAACTGTTCTAGACAGCAGTGGCCAGGTCAGGGCAATTATAAAATCCTCAGATTAAAAACATCTTAGACAATTTTCCACGTGGAAAAGCAACAATCATGGCCGGACATACCAAGATGGCTGCCAATCTGGGCCTCATAAACAGTGGTGTGACGTCAGCACGTAGGCTCCACCCAATGCATTTCGTGCACACGCACGTCCTCAGGGATGCTCCCAATGGTGACGTCAGTTGATTAAATAGCCTGCGGGCGCCACCAAATATTAAGTACTATTTTGTTGTAGTCCGCTGGACATTCTAATAATACAAGCTTTTGTATTATTTGTATTATTAGAATGTTCAGTGAACTACAACAAAATGATGCTTAATATTTGATGGCGCGCCCATGGCTATTTAAACTAAATTAACTTGACGTCAGCACTGGGCACATCCCTGAGGACGTGTGTGTGCATGAAACGCATTTTGTGGAGCGTACCTGCCACCATTTCCAAGACCCGGATTGGTGGCCATCTTGGTATGTCCGGCTGTGATTGTTTGTTCTTCCACCTGGAAGATTGTCTATGATGTTTTTAATCTGAGGATTTTATAATTAAATACTATACTATATACTATCCCCCTGGCTCCATGTGGTGAGCATTTCCTTTCACGCCCCTGGTTGTACCGAGAGCAGCTGGGAGGAGGGAGAAGCTGAGGTTCCCTACTGGGTGAACTACAGGGTATTTAACAAGTAGCCTTCTGGTGAGTGCATGGTGTTTAAAAAATAAGCAAAAAGGTTACAAAACATAGCCTTGGGGCATTCTCTGCCTCAAAACAAAAAAAAAAAACAGCAGAAACACAACTACATTAACACCCTCAGTCCAGATCAACCTGAACAATTCTCAGTGACAAGGATAGGAGTAAACCCAGTAGGAATTAGAACGGTCAGAGACAGCATTTTGAAGCATTAGTAATAACATTTAGAAAGATCAGGTACACAATAAGTACAGTATATTGAACCCTATCTCAGAGAACACCAAGAATAAGTTCTGTGCTTTTCCCCTCCCAAATAATAGGGAGTTGGGCCAGGCAGGAGGGGGATATGTAGAGAAGACCACAAACAACAAGCCTTCACTAATCTCCCATCATATAGGGATATTTATGGAGGGTTTAGCAGGAGATTAAACAGAGACATTATTCTCTTCATTATTAGCAGTAGAGGAGGATTCCAGCCAGATGTCGCACACTTTATGAAATTTATTTGGACAACCTCGAGAAAGATATGTAATTTTGTATAGGGGGATCACTGTGTTGACCAAATTCTTCCAATGGCCTAAGGTAGGAGGGCGGTCAGATTTCCAGGTCAACACAATGGCCTTTCTAGTGTAAAAGAGGAGTAGACTTAGCAATATTTTGGAAGCCTTAAATAAAGCCAACTGATTGACCAGACTTAATAGGCAGGCTGCCACCACTGAGGGGACAGAAATCGTGGTAACCGAGCAAATGCAATGCAGGACTTCCATCCACAATGCTTGTATCAGGGGCAGACTGACAACTCATGGGGCCGCCGGGCAATAGGGGATCATGGGGCCCCTGTGTCCTTGCCCAAACTCAAAAAAGCCTATGAAAAAGGTACCAGGGGCATCTCATGGGGCCCCCTACTGACCCCGGGCCCTCGGGCAGTGCCCGAGTTTCCAAATGGTCAGTCCACCCCTGGCTTGTATACGGGGACAGGACCAGAAAATGTGGAAAAAGCTCTCTGGGGTGTCTTCACACCTCCAGCAGTTCAGCTCAAAAGAAGGGTAAATTCTATGGAGGCGCTGTGGGGTGAAATATGCCATATAAAGTATTTTAAGATGGATCAGCTTATCCCTAGTAGCTACCAAATTAGTAAAGGGGTGTTCCTAGATGTCCTCCTCCCAATCCTCCCCATCCAGCTCCAGCATCTCCACCAGCCACCTCTGCTGAAGGAACTCGAAACCAGTGTGGACAGAGGGCAGTATAGCTTTATAGAGCATGGACAGAGGTTTGGTTATGTCATCTGCGTGTAATAGGGTGTCTAAGTCATCTGGAAGTAAATGGAGCGGGTCAGGACCAAATTACGAGGTGTAGGCATGGCCGAGCTGCAGGAACTGGAAAACAAAGAATTTGGGAGATCATGGGGCTGTTTTAGTTTATCAGAAGTAATGATTCTGCCCCTGTCACAAATATTTTTAATGTATATAACCCTGCTGGAAGCCCAAAGAAAGGGGTCTGGGATGGTTAAGAATTCAGGGAGCTATGGATTGAACCATAGGAGAGTATACAGAGAGCAGGAGGAGGCAGAGGCTGGAGAGGCTGTAGGGACAACAAGTTTCCAGGCCTTGATTACAGCCTTCATGGAGAAAGTGAGGCAATGAAATGTGACTTTAGGGCCACGATACAGCAGGTTCCTACGAGCTTCATATGAGCCAAGGTAAGTGGCTTCTAGGACCACTGATGCATTGGTGTCATCAGTACTGACCCAAATATGTACGTGGATGCATTTGCTAGTACTTTAAACAAGTTTTTATTTTTTTAAATGTCTGTAGTACGTTGTATATATTGCATACATGCGCCAATTTGCAAGCAGGTAAGGGGCACCACCTGCGTGCTATTTAAAGGAATTTAGAACTTTTAATGTTGCCCTTAAAGCACTGAGGATCATGTGAGGATGAACATCTCCCGGGAATGAGCCACAGCAGGTCATAGATCTCTGTGGAGGAATAATATGATATCTGTGCTGGAGAGATATTTTCAGGCAACAGCTTTTGTATTGGGAAGGTATGCTTGAAAGTAAAAAAAACCTTCTGTGTGCAGCGCCCCCCTCCCCCCCATCCCCCCCATCCCCCCCAATACTCACCTGAGCCTGATCTCAGTCTAGCATAGGGGTGATGAGAGGTGACATAGGGGTGATGAGGGGTGGCATGGGGTGATAAGGAGATACATATGGGCGATAAGCAGTGACATGGGGGTGATCAGAGGTGACATAGAGTTGATGAGAAGTCACAGAGGGGTGATGAGCGGTGACATGGGGGTGATCAGGGGCGGACTGACAACTCATGGGGCCCCCGGGCAAAGGGGATCATGGGGCCCCTGTGTCCTTGCCCAAACTCAAAAAAGCCTATGAAAAAGGTACCAGGGGCATCTCATGGGGCCCCCTACTGACCCCGGGCCCTCGGGCAGTGCCCGAGTTTCCAAATGGTCAGTCCGCCCCTGGGGGTGATAAGGGGTGTCATAGGGGTGATAAGGGGTAACATAGGTATGATGAGAGATGGCATAGGGGTGGTGAGAGGTGACATAGGAATGATGAAAGGTGACATAGAGGTGATGAGAGGTGACATAGGGGTGATCAGAGTTCACATAGATGTGATGAGTGATGACATAACGGTGATGAGGGTGACGTAGGGTTGATGAGAGGTGACATAGGGGTGATGAAAGGTGACATAGGGGGTGATTAGGGGATACATAGCGGCGTTAAGCGGTGACATAGGGGTGGTCAGTGGTGACATAGGTGTGATGAGAAGTGGCATAGGGGTGATGTGTGGTGACCTAGGGGCAATGAAGGGAAACATAGGGGCAATAAGCGGTGACTTAGAGGTGAGGAACGTTGACATAGGGGTGAGGAGCGGTTACATAGGGGTAATGAGGGGTGACAGGGGCTCTGAGGGTTTATGAGGGGTGACATAGGGGTTATGAGGGGTAACATAGGAGTGATGAGGGGTGACATAGGGGTGATGAGAGGCGACATACAGTATGGGTGATGAGTGGTGACACAGGTGCGATGAGTGGTGACACAGAGGCGATGAGGGGTGACATAGGGTGATGAGAGGTGACATAGGTGCGATGAGTGGTGGCATAGAAGTGATGAGAGGTGACATAGGGGTGATGAGAGGTGACATAGGGATGATGATGGAATACATAGGAACAATGAGGGAATACATAGGGGTGATGAGTGGTGACATATGGGCAATGAAAGGTTACATTGGGGTGATGAATGGTGACATGGGGCAATGAGCGGTGACATAGGGGTGATGAGCGGTGACATAGGGGTGATGAGCGGTGACATAGGTAAGATGGGAGGTGACATAGGGGTGATGAACGGTGACATGGGGGCAATAGGAGGTGACATTGGGGTGATGAGTCGGGACATAGGGGCGATGAAGGGAAACATAGGGGTAATAAGTGGTGACATAAGGGTGATGAGCGGTGACAAAAGGGGCCATGAGGGGTGATCAGAGGTGACACAGGGGTGATGAGGGGTGACATAGGGGTGATGAGAGGTGACACAGAGGCCCCAATATCACCTGAGCCTGATCTCAGGCTAGCATAGGGGTGATGAGAGGTGACATTGGGGTGATGAGGGGTGACATAGGGGTGATGAGGGGATACATATGGGCGATAAGCGGTGACAAGGGGGTGATCAGAGGTGACAGAGTTCATGAGAAGTCACATAGGGGTGATTAGCAGTGACATAGGGGTGATAAGGGGTGACATAGGTATGATGAGAGATGGCATAGGGGTGGTGAGAGGTGACATAGGAGTGATGAAAGGTGACATAGAGATGATGAGAGGTGACTTAGGGGTGATCAGAGTTGACATAGATGTGATGAGCGATGACATAACGGTTATGAGGGTGATGTAGGGTTGATGAGAGGTGACATAGGGGTGATGAAAGGTGACATAGGGGGTGATTAGGGGATACTTAGGGGCAATAAGCGGTGACATAGGGGTGGTCAGTGGTGACATAGGTGTGATGAGAAGTGGCATAGGGGTGATGTGTGGTGACCTAGGGGCAATAAAGAGAAACATAGGGGCAATAAGCGGTGACTTAGGGGTGAGGAGAGTTGACATAGGGGTGAGGAGCGGTTACATAGGGGTGATGAGGGGTGACATAGGGGATATGAGGGTTTATGAGGGGTGACATAGGAGTGATGAGGGGTGACATAGGGGTGATGAGAGGCGACATATGGGTGATGAGCGGTGACACAGGGGCGATGAGGGGTGACATAGGGTGATGGGAGGTGACATAGGTGCGATGAGTGGTGACATAGAAGTGATGAGAGGTGACATAGGGGTGATGAGAGGTGACATAGGGATGATGATGGAATACATAGGAACAATGAGGGGATACATAGGGGTGATGAGTGGTGACATATGGACAATGAAAGGTTACATTGGGGTGATGAATGGTGACATGGGGCAATGAGCGGTGACATAGCGGTGATTAGCGGTGACATGGGGGCAATAGGAGGTGACATTGAGGTGATGAGTCGGGACATCGCCCCTATGTCCCGACTCATCCCCCAATGTCACCTCCTATTGCCCCCATGTCACCGTTCATCACCCCTATGTCACCTCCCATCACACCTATGTCACCGCTCATCACCCCTATGTCACCGCTGATCACCCCTATGTCACCGCTCATTGCCCCATGTCACCATTCATCACCCCAATGTAACCTTTCATTGCCCATATGTCACCATATTTCTTGCACTGGGGCCCTGAAGGTTCAAGTTACGCCTCTGACGCATGCTAGTTACTAGGTACCCTAGTTGGAAAGAAATGGGTAAGAGAGGGAGAAGAGAAGCGCTAAAATATCCTCCAAAAAAACTACTACGGCCAGAACACAAGGATACTGAACATGATCCACCCAAACCTATGGCTGCACCTCAGTGAGAGCTGGTAAGTTCATTCAAACAGAGAAAAAAACTGTGATATCTTCTATACTTTTCTGTAATCCTTCCCCTGCCTGTATAATTTAGCTTCTATAAATCATTACCGTACCTTCTGTCTATTTGATAGCATTTAAAAGCCTCCTTAATTATCCTGACTAAATTTTGAACAGAGGTGAAGTCAAAGCCTATGGCAAGGGGTTCGAAAGTGATGCTACTGAATATTCTTTAACTGACTGCTCTGGGCTAGAGAAGGACTTGAGACAGATGTAGCTGCTTGACTAGATTTGGTTTCTGACAACTCATGAATTGAGTCCTTCAAGGTTTGTTTAACAAGGGTCTAGACCAGCAATGGGCAAACTACGGCCCGTGGGCCGTATACGGCCCGGCGGACCTTTTAATCCGGCCCGCGGAGCTAGGCTCCCGCTAGGCTCCTCTCACAGTACGCCCTGAAGACCGGTGTAGCATGAAAATCTGTCTCCTATGAGGATCTGTCCCCCTCGACGTATCTGCGCATGTGCCGGAGATCGCCGATCGGCTGCTAATGTCTGAAACTGGCACATGCGCAGATACGTCGAGGGGGACAGATCCTCATAGGAGACAGATTTTCATGCTACCCCGGAACTGCGCGGGAACACGACGAGAGGAACGCGCGGAGCAAAGGTAAGTGAATTGACACAGGGGGGACTTGGGGACTTAATATGGGGGATGAATTAATATGGGGAATGAATTACTATAGGGGGGATGAATTACTATATGGGGGATGAATTACTATATGGGGGATGAATTACTATGGGGGATGAATTACTATATGGGGGATGAATTACTATGGGGGATGAATTACTATATGGGGGATGAATTACTATGGGGGATGAATTACTATGGGGGATTAATTACTATATGGGGGATGAATTACTATATGGGGGATGAATTACTATGGGGGATGAATTACTATATGGGGGATGAATTACTATATGGGGGAGGAATTACTATGGGGGATGAATTACTATATGGGGGATGAATTACTATATGGGGGATGAATTACTATGGGGGATGAATTACTATATGGGGGATGAATTACTATGGGGGATGAATTACTATGGGGGATGAATTACTATATGGGGGATGAATTACTATATGGGGGATGAATTACTATGGGGAATGAATTACTATATGGGGGATGAATTACTATATGGGGGATGAATTACTATGGGGGATGAATTACTATATGGGGGATGAATTACTATATTGGGGATGAATTACTATGGGGGATGAATTACTATATGGGGGATGAATTACTATATGGGGGAGGAATTACTATGGGGGATGAATTACTATATGGGGGATGAATTACTATGGGGGATGAATTACTATATGGGGGATGAATTACTATATGGGGGATGAATTACTATGGGGGATGAATTACTATGGGGGATGAATTACTATATGGGGGATGAATTACTATATGGGGGATGAATTACTATGGGGGATGAATTACTATATGGGGGATGAATTACTATGGGGGATGAATTACTATGGGGGATGAATTACTATATGGGGGATGAATTACTATGGGGGATGAATTACTATATGGGGGATTAATTACTATGCTTACTATGGGGGAATATTACTATACTTACTATGGATGACACATACACATCATTCATCTACTCTTGGTCCGGCCCCCGGGTCCAATATATGAACCCATTGCGGTCCTCTCAAGTCAAAAAGTTTGCCCACCCCTGGTCTAGACCTCCACTTTGTCTATCTCCTTATCCATTGCTGATTTTTACAGGCAAACCTGGCACAACATCATTCCAGGTAAACCCAGATGACCACAAGTCCAACACTGTTCACAGGTCTGGACAATCCCTGCGACATAAGGCTTTATCTTTATTCAAGATAGCAGGTCCTGGAATGTATAGCAGCTTCTTCAGGGCTTGAAGAGGTCCTCTTATGGCAGTGAGAGCAGGTCACCTTTTTGCCTCCTGAGGTATAATATCTTGAGAAGCCTGCTATCACAGTTTACATTATACAAGAGGAAAAATAGGAGGGAGGCATGGAACACTGCCTGGAAACAAGATGACACCATGTCATTACATCCTAGTGTGTGATGTCATTGGGTGTGGCAGAATCCCCTAATGACGTGGTCCAATCACAGCACAGCCGTGTTATCATTACATGACCAGGAAGCAAGTTGGAAGTTGGACTTGTGTCCTTAATGCATTTCCATAATGGAGATCCCAATCTAAGATGTCACCAGCACACCATGTTTAGATAAATGGTGCGCTGGTGTTATCTTGTATTGGAATTACATTTTAGAAGCGCCATCCATCATTTTACCACTACAATCCCATGAATGGGTCCCAATGCTATATCAAGAGTGCTGGATAGTTTATGTTTATGGCTATGATGAAAGCAGATAAATGGTGAGAGAGAACTAGAACCCCAATAGACCTGATTCCTGTACCCCAAAATTTACTCGTATAGGGAAGGCTTCCCTCATAGTACACATTTAGCAGCTTGAACAGAGAGAACTTCACTCAGGAGTGGCTTGAACCTCCAGCAGGCAAGATGAAACCAGCAAGGTCAAGGTAAAAGAAGTTGTTTAGCAACAGCATAACTGGCTTGAGCAGTAAGGAAAAAAAGACAGACTTGTTTAATTTCATTTACAGTACAATTGGCCCTGTGAGTAAGTAGGGGGCATAGGCATACCCATGTGTATATTTCATGCTTGTGTCAAGAAAAAATTCTAACCTACCTAAACAAGGTACAAATTGTTTTATTTTTAACAGTTAATTCTCATTATTATGATATACTGTATGTAAAATCGATGGCGATCCACTTAAAAGAGCATGCCCTTTGCCCACTTAAGTCTAAAAGTGGCCTTTATTCTGGCATATGTCACCAAGTAGCAAGCATATTTTCTACTAGAAAACTCTCAGTACATTCTTTCCTTGAAATCACTTTTATAACTGTGCCCCATTGTGTTTACTAGGTATGTGTAAATACAACAAGACTGTCTAAATGCCTGACTTACAGGAAAGGAAAGGTATGCATGTTTTCCGGAATTTTAGTATTTAAGAGATTCTTTCCCACTTTCCCACTGTTACATGTTAATATCACCACAAGCCAAACAAATTTTATTGGTACTTTTCTAGACAGAACATTTAGTCCATGGAAACTCTACTAAAACAACTTTGTTCTGGTCTTTTTGATACACTCATAATGGTTGGTTACTTAGTGACCATATGGTATGGTGTTAACAAAACCGTTCAGTATTGACCAGCTGGTTGACATCATCTAAAGATAAAATTCAAATAAAATGTAACTTATCTGCACAATTGTGAATAATGAGTTATGTCCTATTTCTACAGCTTTGTAGAAACATGTATGTTTTTCTGTTTCAGTATTTTTATTTTGTTAAAAAAAAATGTAAGGGTATAATGAAATCATTTGTCATATATGATGCAGATTCTTAGAATACCTAGGTGTACATGGCTGTTATGTAACAGCATTGTCATAAATAACTTTGTATCTTATTTGCACTGGAAATGTCTAATCATTACATCTCTATAAACATTATGTATACACAGAGGCATAAATTACTGCATGATATATTGCGTAATATTGGTTGTTTTTTTATCTTCATTGGGATCCAGAAGAGTAGGATGGATAGCACAGAAAAGTAAGAGAAAAATGGGATAGTAAATAAAGCAGGAGAAGAAGAGTCTGACTACACTAGGGTAGGATGTCTGTAGTGTAATGCCCCACCTGCTTGGGTTCATGGATATGGTATGATATTGAACTAGGCAGGGGCGTATTTACCACAAGGCAAACAAGCATTTGCCTAGGGCAACATTTTCAAGGGGGGCATGACCCCCCAGGAAGAAAGAGGCTGCTTGATGGTGTATGCAGAGCCCGACTCCCGTTTTCAGGAATGTCCGGAGCTGTTAAGGCAAGTGCCTCTCTGTTGCCGGGGGGGGGGTGTTAGTGGAAGGCTCTCTCGGTTGGGGGGGCAGGGGTATTGTTGGTCACTGTCAGGCTCTCTCTGGGTGATTGGGGGGTAGGGGGTCTGGTGTTGGTCGGTGTCAGGCTCTCTCTGCCGGGGCGGGGCGCCTGATTTTTGTGTTGCCTACGGCAGCAAAAAACCTAACTACACCACTGAAACAAGGGTGTGTATATTTTCATAGCTAGGCTTAGATACATTGTACATTGCATTTTAATACAGGAGGTGTGTTATGGGCTAGTGCACCAGATAAAAACAGAAGGAAAACGTCAAAACAAAGAAAACAAATGCGGCTACCACATATAATGATTGGTGAGCTGCAATATAGTACATATTTGGTTTTGGGTTTAATACCGCTTTAACGAATAGCAGATTTGTACTCTACTTTTTTACTTCTGTTTAAATAAAGTGATATTTTTTTTATCAGTCATTTTAAATTATTATACCCAATAACATCCTACTTTATGTTATGATTTGGTTTCCATTACCCTTGCAATAAATCTTGAGGTGCCTTGTCCTTTATAGAACATTTTCTCTATGAATCTGAAAAGAGCATTTC